AGCTCTGGTGTCAGCCTGCTGGGATTGGATCTCTGTTCTGTTACCTATTAACCCAGTGACTCTGCACAAATTACCCAATCTAATACTTGGCTTCCTTATCTGTAGAAAGGTAACAGTATCTACCCATAGGGTTGATGTGAAGATTAAATGAGATGATGCATGTAAAGCAATTAGTACAATGCAAGTGCTTCATAAAAGAGACTTACTTCATCGCCATCGCCAGCCACAGGACAGGCCAGCCCATCTCACTGCGGGACGCCGGGAGAGTCTCACTTGGGAAGAGTCCCGAGTGGAAGGCAGGTGCTCTCTGTGCCTGCCATTCCTTGCCCAGCACATGCTTTGAGTTCTCATGCTCTCTCCTCTGGCTCTTTTTCAAATCAAGAGGGGGTTAAAATCCCAAGAAAATTCTCTGCTTTTTAGCCTGGGCAGGTTAGGCTAGAAACAATGCCTGTCCCACAAGAACACGCACGCTCGTGGGATTTCCCTGGCAATCCCCTAAATGTCTGTCACTGGCAGCCGATCAGTGTGGGGAGGCGGACTGTCTTTAAATGGTTACATGTTTTTTAAAAAAATTGCACGTTACATATTTCCAGTGAGCAAAAGATGGCTATGGGAGCTGCCTCCTGCCTGGATCCTCAGGGGCAGTGGGACTGGCCAAAGGCTGCAGCTGTAGTCCCCGGAGCTGCCCAGAAAACCAGGAGTGTCTGCATGGGGCTCCATAAATGGGGAGCTATTCACCCAAGATGAGTGAGCAAAGGGCTCTTAGAAGGAAAGATTTCAATCAAAACATGCCCTGCTCTTATTCCAGCCACTGCAAAGCCAACGCTGAGTGTTTGCCAGAGATTATGCTTTCTGAAGGGCTCGTGGCTGAACGGGCATAATGAGGTTCTTGACATCGGTTATGAAAAGGAGGAGGATGGAAGAACCAAGTCAAAAACGGGAGGAAAAACTTCTGTCCAATTAAAAAGTGTTGCCCTAACCGGTTTGGCTCAGTGGATAGAGCATTAGCCTGCAGACTGAAGGGGCCCAGGTTTGATTCCGGTCAAGGGCATGTACCTTGGTTGTGGGCACATCCCCTGGTTGTGGGCACATCCCCAGGAGAGGGTGTGCAGGAGGTAGCTGATTGATGTTTCTCTCTCATGGATGTTTCTGGCTCTCTGTCCCTCTCCCTTCCTCTCTGTGAAAAATCAATAAAATATATTTTTAAAAAATAAAAATAAATAGTGTTTACGCATTGATGTAAAACTATGTATATAGCTATAAAGAAATTTTAAAGATGTTAAGAGCATGTAGGCTATAGAAGCAGACCTATTAGTATGTTGGAATTTTAATTTCACCACTCCCTAGCTTGTGTGACCTCCCTGATCTATAAAATAAGGGTAATTTCAGTACTTCATTCATGTTTTCAAGATTGAGTTAATGCATGTAATGTCTGGTACGTAGTAAAACAGTAAGACATGTTGTCTGATATTGTTGGTCATTGAGAGAAAAGGCTAAGGTGGAGGGTGGGAGAGGGTGAATAGTTGACAATTCCCCAGAACCCCTCATGCTCTGCTCATAGTGAACTCACCTCTCCCCTGCTCTCCCGCATGCCTTGGTCCTTGCTGTCCTTGTGCGTGGGGCACTTTTCCACTTGCAAATGCATCTCACTCTTTCAAGAAGCGCCTCCAATGTCACTTCTTCGGTGATGCTTTCTCTGGTATCTACCTCCCAAATAGAAAGGATCACTCTTCCCCAGAGCCGAGACTACCTGCCAGCACGTCGCCAATGCGGCCTCGTGCACACAGGCCTGTCACCGAGGCCACCGGTGAGTTCCCTGAGGCAGACATGGTATCTATGCCTCCTGGTTTCCGCAGCTCCCGGCACAAGAGATGGCCAGGAAGTGTTGGCTGACTGGAAACATGAAAATGGTGGGTGATGGCTCTAAAAAGGTGATGGCCAGTCGTTCTCCACTCTAAGGAAAAACAAAGTAAATGGACATAAGCTGTACCCTGGGAACTTCAGTTAGATCAAAGAATTCCCTTCATGTTACGTTAGATCCCAGAGCAAGTTCCCATGGGACAGTGTGGAGTTTTCTTTAAGGGTCCTTAAAAAATGAATACTTTTTATTTTGGGGGTAATTCTGATGTGGGTTTGCGTGAAGGCAGGATCCCCAGCCTGGTATGAAGTTTGTAAAATAAACCATATGTAATTCAGGTGACAGCAAAGGGTCTTTTGGCTTTTGGTCAACCATTTCTCCAGATGGTTCCCTGTACCAAGAGCCTAGCAAGGAGGCTGGGAAAGAATGTGGCTGTGTGTGCCTGAATGGAGGGGGGGAAGTCTCTGCCAACAGCCCAACTCCCAGGACGAGAGCAAGTGGAGTGGCCTGCCAAGGGCAATGAAGTCACCTTGCGTTCAAGTCCCCAAGTCTAACGACGCCCAATTTCTTTCTTGCCCCCAGAACTTTCGAGTAAAGCAGGGAGGGACTTTAGCTGACAGCAGCGCTTTACCCCGAGTTCTTTCACTTGCTGTTGGGCACCTGCTGTGTGCCAGGCCCTGAGCTGGGTGCTGGGCAGTGATCGGTCAACAAGACCTGGTCTCTGTTCTCACTGAGCTGTTTATTAGGAGAAAAACAGGCCCCAAACATTTTGTGACAAATAATTAATTATAGGTAGAAAGTACTACAAAGGGGCAAAATGATGTGATTAGGAGAAAAGGTGGGAAAAGACTGCTGTTCTTTACTACCATTCCTGCCTCTCATTTAACACAGGTGAGGCAAGCCTTCCCATCCCATTAGGGTGGGCACAAGGCCTGGAGGGTAAACTGTGACTTGTTAGCTGGAGAAAGGACCCGTGAATTCAAGTCCTGACTAATTCACTAGCTGGCCTTGGGAAAGCCTATTAGCTACCTGGGTTTTAGCAAATCAAGGCTGGGACTGGCCTCCTGGGGTTAATTACACACAAAAAAACAGCTACACGCGTGAGAGGAGTTGCTAAGTGCTGTGAGATACAGTGGGTGGAGGTTTTGATCATTTCACCCTAAAACCTTCCTGCTTTGGTTTCCGTTGCCTGGCTCTGTCTGGGTAGCGCAGGGTGGCATTCTGAAGGGTGGAGCCCTGGTGGGGCATGCTCCTCCCTCTCCTATGCAATGAGCCTCACGCACCCTGAGCAGCAACTGCCTCGGTTAGAGGCTCCCGTGGCTGATGTGCAGCCTGAGCTCAGGCCATCCTGACTCACGCAGTGCAGTTCATTAGCTGCAGCTCAGTTTAGTGCTACTTTTAGGGGTAGGAGAGATGTGCATGTGAGTGGAGTTTGAAAAAGAACCGAGAGAAGACAGAATGAAAGCCCCGACTTAATTCCCAAGACAGCAAACGTGTTTGGGGCCTGAGAAAATCTCTTATTTACCTCATTTCAAGTGTCAATCAAGTCCATTTCTAAACAAGGTGCTCGTATGACCAATCACAAAGCCAGAACAAGCAGGTGAGAAACACCAAGCAAACCGTAAGACGTGACACAAGTTGAGCTCTGGCCTTGAGTGGCTGCTAAAAGCAGAGTGAAAAACATAAGAACACAAACCCTTTTCTGTTAAAAAAAAATCTGCTGGAAAGGCCAAAGCATAAACACACAGATACACGCCGTATTCTTTGTTCCCTGCATGTTGGGCATCAGATACATGGGCGTTGTGGAGGTACCTGGTGACCTCACATATGTATGAGGCTTCAGATGCTGGGGGAACTTTCCAGGCCAGGTGCAAGCTCTGTGAAGGCAGCAGGTACTGAGTCTGGGCTGTTCATAGGGGTAAGCCAGTGCCTTGTTAAGTGACAAATGAGAACAGTATAAACCAGCGATGGCGAACCTATGACACGCGTGTCAGAGGTGACACGCAAACTCATTTTTTGGTTGATTTTTCTTTGTTAAATGGCATTTAAATATATAAAATAAATATCAAAAATATGTCTTTGTTTTACTATGGTTGCAAATATCAAAAAATTTCTATATGTGACACGGCACCAGTTAAATTAGGGTTTTTCAAAATGCTGACATGCCAAGCTCAAAAGGTTCACCATCACTGGTATAAACAGCTCACACATCACCGTGCGTTCAAATGGCCAGCTCTTCAGAACCAGGCACCAAGGGAGCCTAGACTCTTGTTTCCCCAGGGCAAGTTTCTGGAACCAGAAACTTCACCCCTGGTCCTCTAGCCCAGGCTCCCCCTGCCCTCTCTCTCCCCATCCTCTGCTCCCCCTGCAGAAGCCAGGTGCACCTTGTAAACCCGGCCTCCAGGCTCCAACTCAGTATGTTCTTGGAAGGCATATGATGAATAAAAAGGCTGAATAATATGAGTGACCCGGGATTCATGTTGCAAGTAACTGAGTTGCAAACCTGTGGACTGCCTGTGTTCTAGCTCTTTGATTATTCCACACCACGGCAATGAAGTTCCAGAAAATGGTTGATTAGAAAATCAAATTTAGGAAGAAAAACCCTCCAATATGTACTCTAGGAGATAAAGTCAGAAATGTTTATTGGGATACGATTCTTTGGGGCTGAACTGTTTAACATGCGTGATGGCTCTTCCTTAAGGGCACTGGCATTTGACCTCTTTCTAAGGAAACGGAAGCTCAGAGCATGTCAGACATCAGAATGAATTGTCACCAGACCCACAGGAGCCCAGGTGGGTGACTTTTGTTGTTGTTGTTGTTAATCCTCACCCAGGATACTTTTCTACTGATTTTCAGGAAGAGTGGAAGAGAGGGAAAGACAGAGAGAAACATCGATGTGAGAGAAACAAATCGATTGGTTGTCTCCTGCATGAGCCCCAACGAGGGCCTGGGCTGAAGGAGCCTGCAACCAAGGGTATGTGCCCTTGAACAGAATTGAACCCAGGACCCTTTGGTCCACAGGCTGACGCTCTATCCACTGAGCTAAACCGGCTAGGGCCAGGTGACTTCTGATTATGGTCCTTGCTGTTTTGAAGATATATTAAAATATGCACATCAGAGGAGTAAGAAAAAAAACAGACTATCAAATGGAAAGGTCATTTAATTCAAAAATCATACTTCCACTTGTTTTATTGGGATTGTCACGTAAACCAAACAAATGTACGAAGGCCAAGTTTCAAGGCCACTCAACCGAAATTGTACTTCTTTATAGATATGCTTTGTGATGCAAAAGCACATTATTTTAAAGCTTGAACATGGCAAAACTGTTTCATTAATAACAGGAGAAAAGTTTTATTCTAGTCACAAATTACTTTTTAATTACAGAATTGGATTCTACACACCAGTCAATATTCAATACTGAAGTTTAAAACAGTACATTATTTATGATTTATAAAAACATTAAAGTGCCATTTTTAAGTACTTTATTGATATTATACCACACTGCACTTGTATAATATACTCAAAGGTAGCCTAAATTATGAATTAAACATGCAGATATTTTCTTCTCCAAAATATGGACCAAATGTCTTTTAGAGTGCTTCTGAACACTAGTCTAGTATTAGCTACTGAACACTTATGCGTTTGATCTTTTTTCAAGATGACTTTTAATAAGTTAATATGGAATATAGCTGTAGATAGTAATCATTTAATATGAACAAAGTTTTAAAATGGCACTTCATTTACATGTCTGGTCATTTTGATAGTCAATCAACAGCCTCTCTTGTTTCTTGAATTCTCAACCTTCAACTCTTAAAGGCTGCGAAGGCTCAGCGACCGCCAGTTTAGTGAGTTTCTATTACATGTGCAAATGTGCACCATACATACATCCACAGACACATACTGATACATGTATACTTTAGAACTGTCAGAGGAGATGCTTTCACAGGTACAAGGTTGACTCTGGCATCTGGATCCCCAAGGAGGCGCTCACAGGTGTCTGAACAGCTTCGTAGAGATGGTCCATGCAGAATGGCGTAGAATGTCTTGATGTCTCCAGGTTATTCCGACATCTTGATGACCAGTACTCTGGTTCTTACTACACTCAGGAGAATTTTGACCCAATAGTAACTGCTACCCTTATATGGGGTTTAGGGCAATGCCAGGCCTTTGCTCTCTAAACCATTCCACCTTCAAAGATGTTTCTATCTTGTCGTGCCCTGTAAAACTTTTGTAAACATATCAGTGGTGAACTTTTTCGTGATAGATTTTTTTTCTTCCTGTATTAAGAACTATACTTATCACTCTTAAAAAAAACTCAAAGTTCTTCAGTCCGGTTCGCCTTTTTCTTTCTCTGCTCCTATCATTGCTTTTCACCCAATACTTTCTCAAGAATCTGTGTGCTTCCGCTGGAAGACCACAATTCTGCAGGACTGGCTCTGAATGACGTCTGCACTCTCTAGGGTCCCTCCCTCTGCTTTGGGGAGCTCTTTAGTTAGACAACTTGCTGGGTTCTGTCTCAGGCACGCTGTGGAATTGTGCACAGTGCACTGCTCTGCCACTGTTGTCATTCTGACGCTACAATTACAGAGTAGTTCTGCACCTGGCAGATCAGCGTGGCTGCCAAACACATTTGAGCACAAGATAAATTTTTAAAACACCAGTACAGGGTGTGTGAGAGGACACCCAGCTAACTTAAAGAGATGTGGGGCAGGGTTGTCTAGGTAATTGGTTACTGTCGAGTTTGCCAGAGATGACAGATAACTCCTGGGACAGAACACCTAGGACACTCCTTTGAAAGCCAGGCAGCTTGAGAGGCTGTTTGGTTTCTTCAGTGCTGGCGACCCACTTGGGTGATGCGGTGGCTCATCAGACATTCAATACGAGGGAAACTGCAGGTGCCACGATGGCCACTGTTTTACCTGGCCATCCTGTGTCTACAAAGACGGGTGGTCCAGACTTGCTTTTGGAAAGAGAAGCCAGAGGATGAAAGGTCCCAATAGACAGTCACTAAGAGGTGATTAAGTTATCATCAATCATTTCTGTCTCCCTAATGCTCAATCTTGGATGTTTTTGGAGTCAGGACTGAACTTTTGGTGAGACCGGGGTTGCTGTTTTCAGGAGACACAAATGCAGTTGGTAGAAGGACTTCCTTTCAAGCTAGATGTGGCACACACAATCATGGGGTCCTGACCAATGCCCGAGAGACCTTGTCACTAGGAGCTTGACTGTCCTGATCTCTCTCTCTCTCTCTCTCTGCCTCTGTTAATACAAAATCCTCAGCAAAAGTGGATAAACTTGAATGGGGCTGAACAAAACATTTGGTCTGACAAGAAAACACATTGGCCATTGAAATACTAAAACAGTAAGCTAAAAACTGGCTCTAATTAAGGATACCAAGGAAGGCGGCTTATACTGGTTCTACCCCTATACGTTTATTTTTGAAAAGAGAAGAGAATATCACCAATCTTGAGTGAATCAGGAAACTACTTGCCTGGGGGCAGGGGTTTGAAACTAGTTGTCTTCTTAGGACATGGTATTCTGTAGACATAGACTTCTGTGAGTACCTGAAGGAGTGAGAGACTGATCTTATTACCCAACAAAGGCTCAGGCTCTGTATGCCCAGCACATCTCAGGGCCTTACAACAAAACTAGGCCCCCTGGGGAAGCTCAGGGACCTTGGTCAACAGTCTTCCACTCTAATGCCTGGTTCATACCCCTAATATGTCCTAAAGTTCCCTGTTCAAGCAGAGCCAATAAGGGCTTACGGGGCAGAGACAGTGAAGATGGGAAAATCTAGTTTTAGTCTCCAGAATACTTCCTATTTGTCAGCTCCTTTCATATGCAGTTTTTCCAGTTCTGTAGCAAATGGAGAGGGGTAAGCCTGACTGGGCCAAGAGATGGAGCAGCCATCTGCCACAGGTCCAGCATGGCCACAGGGATGCTGGGAAGGGATCTACCTAAAAATTCCCATTGGCAGCAGCTCTATTTCCCCCTGGCTTCAAATCAGGGCCAACTGAGGAGGGAGGGACATGTTTCCAAGTGGTCAAGTCATGGCCAAGTGTCCACTGGTATGCTCCAGTGAGAACTACTGGCCAGAGCCTGCACCTTTCTCCTCCATGTTAGCTCTAGTCCAGGTCCCACGGGCTGGTGACAATATAAAATATGTTAAAAGCATCACATTGCACTCCTCCTATTTGGGAAACACAGTGGAATAGTGTGCTTGTCCCCTCAGGCCCTTGGAACAGGTCCCTAGGCTGTTCGAAGTCCACAGGGAGTAGGTGGAGCCTATTCATAAATTTCCTTCTTGGGTTTTCAGTGATAGCTTTCCCGAGTCCTATCCGGGTTTGCCCAGTCTTTTTCCTTGCTCCCTGACCCCATGGTAGTGTCTCAACTGCTGCTGGGGGAGCTCCTGGGTGGTCGCTGTGCCACCCTGAACCCACGAACTGAGTCACGACGGCAAACTCCCAATAACTTGGAAACCAGCTATAAAGCGCTAACCACACATTCTCCAATCCTCTTTGGAGTTTTTTCCTTGGTTTGGGGTTATAGGAAACTTGAGATGAACAGGAAGGGCATGAACATGTCCAGAGAAAGAAGAAGCCACAGCATACTGAGAATAAAAGATCCCAAGAAGCCAGTTTTCCTCAGAACTTGGACACACACAACATTTACAAATTCACTTGGCTTCATTCATAAAGTCTTAGAAGATGTGCAGAAAAAGGAGTACGCAATTATCCTGTATCCTTCTGTCCTGATATCCTGGGATACCAAGAAACACACCTGAGAATAAAAATGAAAAAAATAAGTCTAAGCCCTGGCCACATCTATTTAATCCTGAGCTGAGTAGGAGGAGGAGTTCTTGGAAAGATTCTTTACCTGATTCTTTCCATCTCCAAACCCAAAGCCCAAGAAATGCTCTAAACCACCTCTGGATAAAGAAGACTGGACACCATCAGTGTGTTATGCCCACTGACAAGAGCCAGCAGAGCATGTGCAGAAATACCTTCTCCTTCCTCAAGGCCAGGAGGTATGACCTTGAGTCCCTTCGAGATTGAGACCCATCTTTCCTTCTTATACACACTTGTTCAGCAATCAAAGCTTAAAATGTGTGGGGCAACTAGCTTCAAGAATATCAAATATAAAACTTTGCCATATAGTTATTTCAAATCACTCTATTTACAGGTTTATCTTTTCAAAAAAATGTAAAAGATACAGTAATCCAACACAATTCAAGTTTTTCTTTTCTTCTTTCAACTTCCCTAAAGAGAAATTCCAGGAGCAGGATACACTCTGAAGTGTGGCTGCCATCGGCGGCGTCCAGGAGTCTGACAGTCCTTCAGTCTAAAGTTTGTCTGCCCAGAGCCACTCTTGCAAGGACATTCAAGTGTGGAAGATCCCGGGGACTCTGTCCTTTGGAGGCCAAGTGAATCTGAAGTGTCCAGGCCGAACTTCCCCACCCAAGGCAGTCTGCCCCAAGACCCAGGCCCTGGGGGACCAGGAAATGCCCACCTTCTATGCCTCAAGCTTTTGGTGTCCTCCTGAATCACAATGGCTCATGACATTAATCTCATGCCTCAAAAGCCTGAGAAATAATTCCCTTATTCTGAATGGCAGTGAACATATATGTCCTTTTAAACAATAGGCCATAGGGCTAGACTAGGAATTGGCCCTGGAAACCACCAGGCCATCTGAAAACTGCCAGGGATGGTCAGTGATGGGCTAGAGGCAGGCGAGGGCAGGGGCAAGGACAGGTAAACGGGAGGCCATTAGGGACTGAGGCAGGAAAGGGAGGGTGTCACCCATTGGGAGGCAGCATATTGCTCTCTAGAAAGCAAACACCAGTTACATGGAAGAACAGAAATATTAAGCCTGAATGTAATTTAACCTCAAGAGGTTACTAGCGTTTACTCCAAATATATCCTGATGCTGCTGAAATAAATCAGAAAGGAAACGTTCCCAGTTGCTATTCTTTCTGTCTGCCTTAAGCAGACAACGCTCATTTCTTGATCTTCTGCGCTAGGTTATTGGAAAACCATTCAAAAAACTATCCAAAAGGGGGGAGAAAAAAAATATGTGATGCAAAGAGAGTGTTTTTTTTTTGGTTTGGTTTAGAGTAGGTTGGGTTGCCATGGTTACGAGGCGATGGCAGCCCTCGGTGGCAAAGAAGTTCCTAGCTTGGGAGGCGGGGAATGTGGGGTGTGTGTGCTCCCTTGCATGAGAGGACTGGACTGAATTCTGCTGATGCTGGGCCAAGGCTGTTTTAGAGATGGTGAGAGATTGGATCTTATGTAAACAGTGCTGTAAGCCCTCTCCATCCTGCATGCAAACAAACAGCCCAGCAGCCTGGAGCCCCGTGGGTCTTGAGTATGGAGAGGTGGGTTAGAGCGTCTGCTGTAAACAAGAGCAATGGCCCAGCCTGGATCTCGGAGCCGTGACCCAGCCCCACATGCTCTTAAGGATCTTACTTCCACTTTCAGAAGGTTGGGAATTTGGGGGGCTGTTGAGACAAAAGGAGTGCTCCCCATTAGGTTGCTGAACGAGGGAGATGGCTGCGCCAGCCTTTCTCTCGGTTTTCAAAATCAAATGGCCTCCCCTGCTGATTTACTTCTGTTTCCTGCAGTGTCACCACAGGTCAGCTGAGATGATCGTGGGGATGGGTGACACCAAAGTTCACAGAAACACTGGTGTTGACGGAGCAGCAGAGGCAGTCAACCTGCACTTCTCGGTGGCAGAGAAATGCCCTGCAACACTGGACTCAGCAGTTGTCATGGATACCATGGAAAGCTCAGCAGTTCTGCTGGGCCCACGGTTAGAGGAACTCCACATAGTTCTCGGGGATGAGGCCCGTCTTTCCATTCAGAGTCCCCTCCAACCAGCCTGGCTCCTGAGACGGGTGAACTGTAACAGGAAGGGGAGAGAGCAAGAAGAGATGATGTTACAGATAGGGCGGGAGGGGGATGTGTGCATGTGCATCTGCGGATGTGAGGGTGAAGGAAGTTTGCTCAGGAAGTTACATAATCCGAGGACTTGCTTAAACCAGAGCTTCTGAACCTTTTGTGGGACATAAGCCTCTGATGAAGGCTATTCTGGACTTCTTTCACAACAAAAATGGAAACAGAGACAGACATTACATATTCTGTATATAATTTTAAGGGTTTCATAGATTTCCTGAAGGTCCTTGTTTAAACTAAAAAGAAGGAACAGATGTTAGGTTAGAGTTCACATTTATGGTGCACGATCGGTATAGTCATCTATGTATCCATCTGTCCATCCATCCATCCATCCATCCATCCATGTACTTATCTATCTACCTAGTACCAAGGAGTGGCCAGAAAGGACTGCTAAGAACTAGCCTTTAAAGATAACTACCTTCTAGTCATACATTTGACCCTTGCCTTCTGCTTCTAATTTCCTTGAAAATTCCCTCTGCAGGCTTTTTGTTTGATTTTGTTTTTGTCTTTGCATTTTATAGTCTTTCAATAGCCTTCTCTCTGTTCCACCCATACTCTTTCTTAGCTTTCTTTCCTGTTCTCTAGAATGTTTGTCCCTCCTGTAAACAAGTCTGAAAGTTGTCCTCTTCCTCTCTCTATGACAACTTTCAAAATTTCTGCCCCTTTGGTTTTTCAATATCCAAAGAATATATACCCACTTCTGTGACATTATAATCCATCTCCATGGAAACTACTGAGATATTTCAAAGATTATATAAAATACAGCTGAGTCTGCAAAGTAGTCAAAGTAGGAAGAAAGAAATAAGGAACTGTGGGACTTGGAGAAGGGGGGGTGTTCATGCTTATGAGCTGAGTAACCACTTGGGTGAGGCAGGGCATCTGCTATTAATGGACTAGGAAAACTCCAATTTTCCGAGATTGTTTGGAGAGAATGAATTTTCCCCTATTCCCTTCCTAGGCTAATTAAGTGACTTCCTGAGCTTGTTTTAGAAAAGCATTACTGCCAACACTACCATACAAATCTAGCTTCTCTTTTTTTTTAAGGGAAGCAAATGGGGAAGCGGAAGGACACACATTGAGGCTCACAGAGCACGGTCAACCTTGTGTAGATCGTGAGTGTTCCTGCAGGAAAAGACAAAGCCAAACATCTGTTAGGTGGCTTTCAAAATGCATACATAATTTCCTCTCACTGGGCTTCAGGAATAAACCAAAAGTAACAGGGGTACTTTGTGGATTCATGAACCCCACATGAGGGGGGGTCTGGGAGGGCAATGTCTGGGAAGAACATAGCACAGCTGAAAAGCAACCTAGCCTCTCCGATGACCAGCCTCTCTCATCCTGCCCTTAGAATACCAGCATCCCACCACCCTGCCTTCCACCTATCTATCCATCCAGCTGACACTGCTAGGGCCATTTCAGTTTCTGCGCTTATTAAGTGGTAATAATAAAACTCTCTCCCCTCAGTCGGCTCTTGTGAGGGTTCAACGTGGAGAAAGCACTCCACAGAGTCAGGACACAGGAAATGCTCAATGTGGGTTAGTCCGTAGGGGCCCTGTGTCATCCTGCCAGCCACCTGGACTGGTCAGTCAGCATCTCCTGGTGAAACCTGGGTAAAGGCCTGGTGTAAACACCCACCTAAGCTTTGGGAAACCTCAAATGCTTAGAACCCCAAACAAATAAATCAAACTCACTCCCCCAAATAAAAGACCTAGAGAGAATAACCAACCAACCAAAGAAAAACATGAGAAAGATGCCCCTCCCACTTTGCAGCAGAGCTCCCCGTGAGTTGTTACTCCACTGGACGCACGGAGTCCGTGTCTTTCAGACATTTTCCAGGTCTGTCAGCTGTGCAAGCACAGCTCAGGTGCTGAGGTGGCAGTGTCTGCAAACATCAGACATGGAATTTGCTGAGCAAGGGAAGAATCAGAGGGGACAAAGGAGGTTCTCCAGACTGGAGAACAAGAGATGTGTCATGGGGGCTGTAGGGGACAATACAGCCTTTGGGTCAGGTTGCTGCCTCACTGGAGTCTTCAAATCAGGTTTGAGTAAAGCAGGGAACCCACCCCGATGCTTATTAAGACTGCAGGTTCCTAGGCCCCATGGCACATCAGTTCAAGCAAAATCTAAGGAATGGGGCCTAGGAACCTGTATTTTAACTCATTTAAAGAAAGTTAAGGGTTATAACTTTTCTGTACCAAAATGCCTCTGTAATGAGGGTGGCAATAAGAACTGAAATACAAATTTTCATTAAGTCACAGAGGAGGGAGACAGCACCAGATCCCCACCCCAACTTGCTTCCCTAACTAGTATTATATCATTCAACATTTGTCATTCCTCCTCTGTGCCTGATGAATTTAAAATGATAGACGCTAACACCTAGAAATGGGGACTGGGAAACAGCCATGGGCTCAAAGCTTTAGATATCTATTGACTCATTTGACCCTAAATACCCCTATTTAACAGATGAGGACATGAAGGCTCAGAGAGGCAAGTTAACTTGTGCAGGGTCACAATGGTAGAGCCAGAATTTGAACCCAGCTTGTCTGACTGCAGAGCCTAAGCCCTTTTCTATGATGTTATGCCTCTATTCTACCAGAGAATGTGATCCTTGAGGATGAGAATGATAGTACATATGTGGAGCACATACAAAGTCAAGCATGTACTTGTTTAAATAAATGAGGCGTGCGGCCCGCCGGCTGCGAGTTTGACATGCTTGTACGAAGTGGAGGTTCTTTTGCAAAGTGCTTGGCCAGCATTAGCCACTTTCATTTTCAGAATGATTACAGAGATGGTTCTGTTATTATCCTCATTTTACTGATAAGAAACTGAGGCTCAGAGAGGTTAAGTATCTTGCCCCAAATTTCACAGCTGGTGGATGATGGAGGTTGAACTGAAGCTAGGATATCTGACCCCAGAGTCTGTGGTCTTAACCATGACCACTCTGGCTCAATCCAATGCTTTGGACCTCAAAGATGCTCATAAGTACTTGTTGGGCTGAACTGTATACCAATGTCCAACCTTCTGAATTGCACCAGTGTCCTACGCGCTATATAAACACACACGATGCTGCGGATACTGCCCGGGCAGCACTCCAGCCCAGCAAGCATATAATAAATATAAGCTGCTGCTGACATGGGCGCGCTTCCTGCCAACTACTTTCTCTCAGCTCTATCCATATATACACCACACTCCCCTGTATACACAGCTCACGTTCTCTCCACTCCTTCGCTCACAGTGGACAAGGCACAAGTGTGCGACTAAGATCCCTTAATGGCTGGCTGCGCCATGGAGAAGCAGCATGGGCTGGAAGAGGCACAGACCCCTGTGGAGTTTGGATGCATTTACTCTTTTAACAAATGTTTATTAAGCATCTACCATGTGCCAGACACTGTGCTAAGTCCTTGCACATAGTACAGAGCAAGCAGACAAGATTCTGCTCTTGGGAGAGGGGGTAAACAATCTTATATAATAAAAGGCTGTATTATCCAAAGAGGATGTTACAATTCCACACACAAATATTTTTCTACTATGACAAAGGCTAATATGCAAATCGACCGAACAGCAGAACTACCAGTTGCTATGACACACACTGACCACCAGGGGGCAAACGCTCAAAGCAGGAGCTGCCCCCTGGTGGTCAGTGCACTCCCACAGGGGGAGCGCTGCTCAGCTGGAAGCCAGGCTCACGGCTGGCAAGCACAGTGGTGGTGGGGGGAGCCTCTCTTGCCTCCATGGCAGTTGGACATCCCCCGAGGGCTCCAGGACTGCAAGGGGGCGCAGGCTGGGCTGAGGAACCTCTCCCCGCAAAGTGCACAAATTTTGTGCACTGGGCCTCTAGTCTATAATAAAAAAGCATATACTTTTAGGTAGAGATGAGTGGAGAGAGAGAGACTGGGATGGGGATGTGGGTGAGTGAGGAGGAGCTCAACAAACTAAAATCTAAATGACCTGAAGGAGCCATTCATTGGGTAGGGATGATGCAAGTGCAAGAGCTTGAAGTTGGGGAAAAGCTTGGTGTGATTTTAGAACAGTCGTCAGCAATTTTTCTTAAAGAGCCATATGGTAAATTGTGTCTCTACTCCACTCTGCCACTGTGGTGCCATAGATGATATGTAAAGAAAGAGGTGTGGGTAGCTGTATTCCAGTAAAGTTTTATTTACAAAAACGGGCAGTGGGTTGGGTTTGACTGGCAGGTTATAGTTGGCCGACCCCACCTGAGAACATCAAGAAGGCCTGTGAGGCTGTAGTGTATGGAGGGAGGGGAGGGGGCCTGAGGGGCAGGCCTGGACTGCGGAGGGCCTCGTCAATGATTCTCAGAGCAACGGGAGGCCCCTGGAGTATTTTAAGCAGGAGAATAATATGATGTGATTTCCATTTTCCAAAGTTCACCCTGGCTGCTCTGTGGAGAACAGTGATGAGGGCAAGAGTGGACATGTCGAGGTCAGTTAGGCAGCTGGTGGAAACACCAGGTGAGGGATGGAGGCAGCTTGGGTTTGGCAGCAGAGAGGGCTGGGAGGCTGGAGACTCCACAGAGGAACCCCCTGCAACCCTACTGCCTGAGCGGCTTGGTGGCCCTGGTGAAGTTCCCTATCAGTCAAGGAGACCCGGGGCAGCCCTGCCTTGTACTCACACTGCACCCTGGACCCCGGAGATGAATGGACCCAGTCAATCTCCAATCTTGAAAAGAATTCAATTTTAGTGAACACCATGTGACTTTTCCAGGTATTGCTAATCACGTAGCTTCAAGATGACTAATGTTCCTGAGAACACGAGTTATTTCTCTTTCCAGTTACTGTCGGAGGTGCTGGCTCCTGGGGAAGTAGGCAGTTTCCGGGTAGACTGGCAAGGGCTGCCATGGAGTTATTTCCGAGTATTGCACATCCACTTCTGGTTGCACAAAGTCCAGGCGCTGACTGCACAGCGCAGGCCCCTGGAATCCATGCTTGGAGATGAGTCACTACGAAACACCAGACTTTGCCCTCTTCCCCTCCTTATTTATTCTTCTTGGTCCTGAAAACACACATACTCACCGACCCCAACCCTGTCATTAGGAAACTTTCTTCGAATTGGTCTGATAACTTCATCTGACAGTTGCAGAGCATTCTACATAAACAGTCCTTGCCTAGTGTCTCCAGCACAAAACTAATGAGACAGAACAAAGAAAGAGATCTCCCTGCCTGACGTGTAAATAGGATTTTCCTCCTCTAATGCCTGATTTCTCGAACAGAGGTGAAGGGAAGGGGAAAACAGAGCATATTTAGCATTTCCCAAAAGGCAGACATAATAAAATGCTATCAACCAAACCAGTCTATAAAGTGGAGCAACATTTTGTCAGATCCTTCTTCAACTGCAGCTCGAAGTAAACTCTGAAAGGTGTCTTCTGGGTTTAATCTGGCCCTTTGCTCTTCAGGGAATTTGAAAGGTCACTGGCATTGCTGGTTAAAAACAAACTAGTGACCGTGACCTCTGCCATGACTCCCAGAGGCCACGGAGGCTTGCACAATGCTGCTCCTTAAGCCAGGCCTCCCTCGTGCTCATCTGTCAGGACGGGGTTCGTGACGACTACACGTGCGAGATGGCAGAAACCCAGGGCTGCGAGGCAGAGTGCCCAGAGGGGGAGGAAAGGACCTGGCAGTTAAAATTACCTATGTATCTTTTCTTTTCTTTTCATGGTTAGCTAAACTACTTCAAACAGAAGACTTAAAAACAAATGGAAGGAATGTAAAATGCCGCATCCCTTTTGTAAAAACAGTTTGGCAGTTTCTTAAACAGTTAAACATAGTTACTGTAAGACCCAGCAATCCCATCCCTGGGTATATCACCAAAATGGAAAATACATGTCCTCAGTTATAGCAGCCAAAAAGTGGAAATAATCAAAATGTCCATCCACTGACGAAGGGATTAATCAAATGTGATATATTCATACACTGGGATATTATCCAGCAATAATAAGGAATGAAGTTCTGACACATGATACAACATGGATGAACCTTGAAAAGATGCTAAGTGAAAGAAGCCAGCTATAAAGGCTACATACTGTGTAATTCCATCCATATGAATTATCCAAGCAGGCAAATTTATGGTGACAGAATGAGTAGTGGCTACCTAGGCTGGATGGGGTAGGTTAGAGGTACCTGGGGCTTGACTGCTAAAGTGTACAGGGTTTCTTTTGGGAGTAATGAATAGATTCTGGAATTAGATAGTGGTGATGGTTGCACAACTCTGAATATATAAAAAAACTACCAAGTTGTACATTTTAAATGGGTACATTTTATGGATTGTGAGTATCTTAATGTAGAAGTTTTAAAAAAATGGAAGAAGGCTACACTCAAGAAAAGGAATCACAAATAACACACACACACACACACACACACACACACACACACACACACTCTCACATACCTTTTGGGAGCTTAGACCAATTCTGTCCCTGCAGTCAGGGGTCCTCTGTGTTGTCAGAGTGTACAGCTGGTAGGACCATGGCAAGTCCCTTGCCCAGGGGAACAGTGAATTGGGGTTTAGAGGACAGACCTTTATACTGAATTCACCAGTAAAGGTGGGGCTCTCTCAAATCCTGCGCCTCTATGGGCAGCCCCTCCCCTGCAGACAGAGCAGGACACAGAATCCTGCACGCAGCCCACTCTGGTTTGTCTGCCGTGGCAGCTGTGTCGTGTGATGGCTGGGCTGTGACTCCGCCATGTGAGCCTGTTCGGGGGACACTCGTCAATGACATGGCTTTGGACAGCCTTCAGTGGACCCACTTCCCTGCAGGTTTGTTGGGGCCTGAAAGCCTCATCTGCTCATGGGGGAGGCTATTGGGTGGCTGGCCATGCACTGTGACTTGCAAAGGGCCCATGAAAATGGAGCAAAGGTTTAAGGACAGTGCTCTGGGGGCTCTGAGGACCATCAGAGAGGACACAGGCCCTGCAGGCCACGTGCAGTTATGGGCTCACACCGAGTCCTGCTGGCTGAGAAGGTCCAGCTCCAGGTGTGGGCTGGGAACTCCCAGGTCCCCTGTGACCAGTTCCCCATGCTTTCCACCTGTGCCTGCTCAGAATCCCTGCCATGGTGAGTGCAGGGGCCGTGCACCCCGGGGCAGCTCCTTGGCATGTGGATGCAGTCAAGGCTGGTCCCAGGAGCCCATCTCTGATCGGGCTTGGACCTCGAGGCCCTAACACAGAGCCAGGGCCCAGGAGTCAAGGTGATCACCTCCTACCCAGCTGAGATCCAGGCCTGAGTCCTACCAGCTGAAAAGGAAAGACCGTCACGAAGAACTATGACAGCGTCAGGGCCTGTCTAAGATGGATGGAATGACAATAATCACAAAAATAACGTATTGAATGCAGAGTGTGTGTTGAGACCTATTTTAAATATGTGAAGTGCACTATCTCGATTTTCTCACAACCCTCTGTTTTCTGCTTGAGGTCACACAGGAGGAAGGGATCAAGCCAGGACTTGAGTTAGAGTGGCCTGAATCTAGAGTTCTTGTTCTCCAGCATTATCTGGGAGCCTTGGCTGCCCTGTACTTCTGGGTCTCAGGCAGGTGGTAGGAGGGGTCGTCCGTGACCCTATGCTGAGACTGTCCAGGTTGGCTGACCACACTTTTTTAAAAAATATATTTTTATTGCTTTCAGAGAGGAAGTGAGAGGGAGAAAGAGATAGAAACATCAATGATGAGAAAGAATCATTGATTGGCTGCCTCCTGCATACCCCCCACTGGAGATCAAGCCTGCAACCCAGGCATGTGCCCTGACCAGAATCGAACCTGGGACCCTTCAGTCTGAAGGTCCACTGCCACTCTCTCATTTTGGGAAAGGCACTCGTTTTCAGTATTATCCATTCAACTGGGATTTTCCTTAGGTAGGAACTTAGAAAACTCCAGTTATTTATTTGCTGCCCCCATCTTGGCGAGGGGACAAGAAAACTCACCATTATCGAAGACCGTGCCTGCGATGAATGAGAGCTCCGAGTCGTGCTCAGCTTTGCAAGCGTACAAGGCTTTTGCCTTCCGGAACGGAGTGCTGTGTGAAGACAGGAGTTTAGTTAGCAATGTTTAAAAACCCTCTGAAAGCTCCAGATAGTTCTTCTCTCTTCTTCCCCTTCACTGTGAGCCACCTGATCCTCTGGGGTGGGAAGAGCCTAACCAGGCAGCCAGTGGGTACTACATGAGGTGGAAAAGTTGCAAAGGTCACCAGGAAAAAATGAGAAATATTCAGAGAAAAGCCCTGAGCCTGAGAAACCAAACTTCTTGTGGGGTGACCTTGTGCCATGTTAAAACTTGACCTAGGAGTTACAGCAGCGGAACAGTGGGAGGGCAGGCTGCAGGGGAGGGAGGGAGGGGTGGAGAGAACTTCCATAGTGCACAGAGAACACTCCCAGCGGAGCCTGCTGAGAGCGGGCAATGCTCAGTGAGTCAAAAAGGAGAAATTCTAGGAAGGCCAGGTTTCCACTCGGGCCACAGGCTGACATCAGCTTCTCCAGATGTTACTTATTTCTCATGGGGCTGGTGGAAAGGAGTCCAGAGCTGGAAGTCCCTGACCGCCAGGGCGGGCAGGGAATAGACAAGGTATGCATGTGAGTGGTTACACACGTGAACATGTGTGGGAGGGTGGGAAGAAGGGAGGGGGGGCACGATGCATTTTTCCCCCTTCTCATGTCCAATGAGTGTTGACAACCGCTTTCATTGTGTATCAAAATCACCTGGGAGCTTTTAAAAAAGTGCAGATAGCTGGGTTCGAACCTGACTTGCAGATATAAAGAGAGGCTTCAGGATTTTAAAAAGGTCTCCAAGGGACTCCTGTGTGCAACAGGGCTGAGAACCATTGTTCTAGAGCCGGGGTGGGCAAACTTTTTCTGTAAAGGGCCAGGCAGGAAATGTTTTAGGCTTTGTGGGCCACATGGTCTCTGGTGTAATTATTCAACACTGCATTGTTGCCTGAGAGCAGCCATACACAGCATGTAAACAAGTATGTGTGGCTGGGTTCCATCAAACGTTGACTACAAAAAACAGGTGGTGGGCCAGATTGGACCCATGGACCACAGAATGCAAACTCCTGTTCCAGAGAGAAAACTGTAAAAACAGATAAATCCTATTAAGTTCTAGAAAATTTTGCTTTGATATCCAACTAGTTCCAAATGACCTATGGAATTCTCAGGGTCATAAGAAAAATTACACTTAACAGTCAAGTTGGCTCTTTATTTGATAAAAGCAATTTCCTTCTCCCTCCAAGCCATCTGAGGAAGCTTATGTAGGAGTTCCAGGGCAGAATAACAAACGAGTACAGAGGTGCTCTGGGTTAGATAATTACTGAGGTATAGATAGTATTATTTCATCTTCATGTGATTGATGGGCAGCCTCAAGGAGCCAGAGGTGCTAACCCTCCCATGGTGCACCAATTTTTAGGGACAAATGAGATTTGGCTGAGGGATGGCTAGTGTTGGGTAAATCCAGACAGACTCAGAAGGGGTGGGGCATGGTGGGTCATCCTGAAATTGTTATTACTTGGAATCACCAAGACAGCTTCCCTTTGGGAACGAGAAGCCCTGGATGGTTGGAAACCCATCCCAGGCCCAGGCATCTAGAACTTCTAGTCTGGGCTCCATGAAAACTGAAGGGAAAAAGGCTGAAAAGGTCTACTGTGCAGAATGACAAGAGTAAATGACTATCCAGAATTTGTTGCCAGAGTGCAGTTTACTGCATTCTCTCTGGTCTTCTAGTAGCCGAGAGTTGATGGCCAGGTGGGAGAAAATTGGGAAATTCAGAATAAAAGGAAGTGGGACCTCTGGGAATGTGGGAAAGAACAGCCTTTAGAATTCATCAGCTTCAATGGAAAACAGCTCTTCCTGGGGAATTATCATTAAACAGAATAAAGTTCAGAACAAGGGGCACATTCTATGAGCTGACCAAACCCAGTCGGTGCATTGACCAGCAAGGGCCAAGTATCCCACGTGCAACTTTCCAGGAAGGAAAACGAGTTTTTTTTGTTTTGTTTTTTTTTTGAAGGAGTGGGGAGCAGAGAGAAGTCACCTGGCTGTGAAAAGTGCTAAATCATCTAAACCCCATACTGACATGGAAGTTGAGTCCTTCGTGACATGGAAGGTGGAAGGAGAGCGCAGTGGACATTAGCCAGGTCACTGCACCTTGAGGACAGGGCCGAGCAGGTGAGGAGAGCGCAAAGAGACTGCGTAGAGCAATGGTTCTCAACCTTCCTAATGCCGCGACCCTTTAATACAGTTCCTCATGTTGTGGTAACCCCCAATCATAAAATTATTTTCATTGCTCCTTCATAACTGTAATTTTGCTACTGTTATGAATCGCAATGTAAATATCTGATAGGCGGGATATATTTTCATTGTTACAAACTGAACATAATTAAAGCATAGTGATTAATCACAAAAACAATATGTAATTATATATGTGTTTTCTGATGGTCTTAGGTGACCCCTGTGAAAGGGTCGTTCGACCCTGGCGACCCACAGGTTGAGAACCGCTGGTGTAGAGGTTAATAGAAGGTGAGGGGAAGATCAGCTGAGGCCAGGCCCCTCCAGCTGGATTTTCATAGAGGTTACTTATTAACCTCATTAAATAAAGTAATGGGACCAAATAGGGGCAAGCCAGGGAAACCAACTGGGATATCTGGCAGGAAGAAAGCAGCGGGAAAGGTGCCCAAGATTATCATTCAAGAGGAGTAATTTTCCACTAATATTAGGCTTTTGGAATTGAGTAGTGAAGTGACAATGAAATAGTACAATCAAAATAAACACAGCTCTGGCCACTGTGACTCAGTTGGTTGGAGCGTTGTCCTAAGAACTGAAAGAAAGGTGGCAGATTTGATTCCTAGTCAGAGCACATACCAAGGTTGCAAGTTCAATTCCCGGTCATGGTATGTTCAGAAGGCAACCTATCCATGTTTCTCTTTCACATCAATGTTTCTCTCTCTCTAAACATCAATGAGCGGGCTCTCCTCAGGTGAGGATTAAACAACAACAAAAAAAGTAAAAATAAATAAATAAATAATAAATAAATACAAAGGTCAGGAAAGGCTCTTGTTTTTTTTTTGTTTGGTTGGTTTTTTTCCAAATTAGTACGTGACTGATCGTCTATGAGAGCTCTCTTCCCCTGTGACTTCTCCCACCGCTTTGGGACATGCACGAAGATGGGAGGGATGACATAAGGAGTGTTTTTTAAAGGGACCACCTCCCTTCTCCAGGATAAGGGCTGCCAAGTAAAATACAAGATACCTAGCCAACTTTGGATTTCAGGTCAATAAGGGATACTTTCTAGTATAAGTATGTCCCAAATATTACAGGAGACATACTTACACTAAAAAAAATCTTTTGTTGTTTATCTACAATCCAAATGTAACTGGGTATTCATTTTATTGGCTAAATCTGGCAACTCTACCCAGAGAAGAGTCTTATCAGTTTTTAAATGTCTGTCAAGCCCAGCAAGTCCAGTGTCCCATGCCATACTCCCTGCAAAGGCCTTGAGCAGTTTGCTTTAGGTAGGGTTCCTACCCAAACAGCTCCTGTTGGCACAGAGGCAGTGTTTGTAGGATTTGGCTCTGAGCAAAAAAATAAAAAGTCCTCAACAAGCATCTTTAGTCCTTTGGCTCCCTCTTCTCCACAGTGCCTCTCAGCACTGAACATAGAGAGCCTGGGGTGCCTTCGGCTGTTCCTGTAACAGTGCCCTTCAGACCTTAGCTGGACCTTCAAGGGCATGAAAAAGTTTGGAATCCTTTGCCAGTTCATTTTTCATCTTTGCTTCTGAGCATGGCAGCAGGCCAGGAAAGCACTCAGAGGAGTTTCCCTCAAATGCCCTTGCAAGCCTATCAAAATGACGACCCACTCTCCGTTGTATGGCATGACAGGGAGGTGGGGCCAGATAGATTAGCAGGTTGCAATGGGTTTGGGGCTGGGTGTTTTTCTGGGGTTACGAATGAAAGGAAAGGGAAATGTAAAGGGAATGTCCCTGCAGAACCCATTCTCTGAGGTGCTGTGAAAGGCAGCTTTGTTTCTGAGCTTGAACTAACAAGCACTAAAGTGGCTTGGAAGAGAGGAGAGGAAGCCACTTCCAGGGCAGACGATGTAGACATTTAGGAGACCATTAATTAGGTATAATAAAGTACTTATTTTTATCTGTTCTCCTAGGAAAGGAAATCTGAAGTTCACATTCTGGAAGTAGATTTGGGGGAAGGCCCCACTGGGCCTGAATAATGGGTATACGCCCCACTTCTTGGCTCTATATTGCAACAGCAGTTATGGGATTTTAGCTCTCTTTGTTCGCGAGCTCTGATGAGCTAGCTCCCCACTACTGTCTGTATCCGTGCTCACCTTGGCATACATATTTAGCTCAGTGACAGCTAATTGTAAGGCCTACTCAGCCTTGCATATATCAAAATGGTAGCTTCCTACAGGGTTGTGGGACAGGATCTTCAAATGGTGCTGTTCTAACCATGGCCAGAGGAGGCAGTGCTGAGTAACCATGACTCCAAACAGCAGTAAGCAGCTTCTACTGCCACAGTCCTCTGCCAATCTGGAAATCCTTGGGAGAAGAAAGGAGTAGCTAAAGAAAACAGACAGACAAACAAACAAAGGGAAATATCTTGGGAGGTGAGAGGGAGTGGAGAGGTGGAATTACTGGATAGGCAACAGGGCCCCAAAGCTCAGAGACACAAAAAAGTGAATACTCTCAAAGCAGAGAGTACATTTCAGGTTTTTAGTTGAATGATTCTACTATCCTGAGTCCCCTAACCCGTCCTGTCCAAGGAGCCAATGTCTTGAATTTTTACTCCTTTTTGATCAAAACGACCAAGTCTCTGTTATGAGTGAGGGAGGTATTTGGAAGATTACTATCTCTGGTAAATGTGGTTTGCTCTGGTTCAGGTCCTCATGGACAATCAGTGATCTATCTGATCAGATGCATCAATGCCATATCTAGTGTCCTAGAAAGTTTACATTTCTCAAAGTACCCAGAATGTGTCTAAGAAATAATTAGAAAATAACGTGTCAGGAAAATATGATTTGAATATTTACCTTATTCCTGGGGTGAAGATAAAAGGATATACTGAAAAGTTATCTTTCTCATATTCTGGGACAAAGCTAGGTAGAAATCCTACAGACCAGGCCAGGCTCTACCAGCCATGGGCAAAGTACGGCCCGCGGGCCAAATCCGGCCCGTTTGAAATGAATAAAACTATTGAAAAAAAAGACCGTACCCTTTTATGTAATGATGTTTATTTTGAATTTAAATTAGTTCACACAAACACTCCATCCATGCTTTTGTTCCGGCCCTCTGGTCCAGTTTAAGAACCCATTGTGGCTCTGAGTCAAAAAGTTTGCCCACCCCTGCTCTAGGCTGAAAGTTGCATGGAACCTTGAATTTGGGACCACCTATATGTTTGGCAGAAAGAGTGCTGGTTTGAGGGCAGAAATCCTGAATTCTGGATTGGCTCTAGTTTAGCCATGTGACTGTACAAATCACCTCCCTGTGCCTTAGTTTTCTCTCCCTGTCATAGGGTTCAGGCCACTTCTCCTCTCATTCTCATACAAGGATAGAATGAAATGATAGATATAAAAGTATGTGGAGGAGAATAAAGTAATATATACACATCTGTGTATAAATAGCACTAAGTTGTTGTTTTTCTAAGTGGGACTCATCTTTATAAATTATTTAAGCCTCTCTGCTGGACTCGCCTCTAAGGAAAAAATCAGCTAGGACAGTGATCGGCAAACTGTGGCCCCTTGAGTGTGGCTCTTCCACAAAGTACCATGTGTGGCACACATGTACAGTGCGATTGAAACTTCATGGCCACACTCAAGGGGCCAAAGAGCTGCATGTGGCTCCCGAGCCGCAGTTTGCCGACCACTGAGCTAGGAGAAAAAGATGGACGAGAAAATACTGCCAAGGCCCAAAATGCTTATGATGCTTATAATTGGGCTCTACATTTTGGCTGTCAGACAGCAGAGACTAAGTTTGAAACACACACATGCCAAGGACCTGTACAGCAGAGGGGTCCTGCAGGGTCCTCATTAATTAATTATTTTCCTGGATTTAAATAGCTTCTCTTCTCCAAAGAACTCAAGTGCAAAGAATTAAGTCTGGACGGGACCAAAGCAGGGAAAACTATGCATGGGCCTTGGGGAGAGGAACTAGGTCAATCTTCAGAAAGAGGTGTTGGCTGCTCTCATGAGAGCTAATGGTTCATTACACATGGAAACAGGAGTAGGCTGGGAGCACTGATGATTCCTGGGAGTGCATGGAGAGAAGGAGCTGGCCATGAACAATTTAAAGAGAAATCACTTCATATTTGGGTTCCTTATTCTGTGTTTATATTCATCTCTCTCCCAGTGGTCTGGTCTCAGCAATTAGGTGTCAGTGCTCAGTGCCCACAAACAAATGTTGCCTGATGCTATCTAATAAAAATGAGGGAAGAAAAAGTCAGCACATGTCTCGGCACTGTTCCCTCTGAAATCATCTAATACCAAAGCACAGACAGCTCCATGATTCAGAGAGTG